GAGTAGGAGAAAGAAGTGGGCTGTTGTTGATGGTTGGGTCTTTTTTTTTGTTGTCTTCTTGGGTCATTAAGGATTTGAGTAAGGATAAAATTTGAACAACGTACCCAGACAAACAAACGTCGTATTAGAGCATGCTCACTCTACGTAGGAATCTTGTGGATGTACCTGACTGCAATTACGGCCAGTCATCAATGTATGTATCAGCAATCACGTCCACAAGATTGGTCGAAAAAATTCGTGTGGAATTGAGTACCCCCCTCATAGAGACTGATAACATCTGATCAATGACTGATTATGGGATATGATTGTTTGATTTATCCCGGACGTACCTGAATGCAATCACGGTCTCATACAAACGGGATGTACTTGCACATAATATGCCCTTTCTGGATTATACTCGACGTATTTGACACCAATCATGTCCAGAGTTAGTCGAAGAAGTCCTCGTTGTATTTGACTGCAATCACGCCCTTATACAGACTGATTATGTGTTGATTGTTTGATTTACAGGTTTCTGGATTTACTTGCGCAGCTGACGATGTATTTGACTGCAACCGCACCCTTGTACAGATTGATTATGTGTTGATTGTTTGATTTACGGGGTATTATCTGGATTTACTTGTGCAGTTGAGGATGTATTTGACTGCAATCACACCCTTATGCCGACTTATTACGTGTTGATTGTTTGATTTGCAGGGTATCTGGATTTACTTGCGCAGCTGACGGTGGTTGGCGATGTCACAGAAAAGGACTTCGAAAGTGAGTGCCAAGCCTTTTTTAAAGTTTTTTGCTAGGCTGTTTTTTTGGGCCCCCGGGAACCCAACTTATGCCCGGGTACATACCTGGGTGCCCGGGTGGGCATGACCCCCGGGCAGCTTTAGCACCAAAAAAAAAAAAAAAACGAATTGAAAAAATTCCCGGAAAAAAATATGTTGTGTACAATTGCAATACAAACGTTTTTTGGCTGAGGGTCACATTAGAATTTTTCACAGAATCGGAGATAAAAAAGAAAATAGCGGAATCACACGAAGGCACCCCCCTTTAAAACCCTTCAGCCCCTTCAAAACTAATTTGTACCCCCTTCCCTCCCCCTCCACCCTTGACAGCCAACTCGCGAAAAAAGAAATGAGCCCAGATTTTAGGTCCTCTGGGAGAGTGCAGACAACCAAAAAACAACAACAACAAAAAAAAACATATTTTTTCTTTTGTTTTTTGCACGCCCGGGTGCCCGGCTGGGCAGGACCGGCCGGGCGTGAGAATCTTCCTAGTTTTTTTAAACTTTTTTATCTCTGAAACAATAAAAAGAGAAGACTGCCCAATTTTTTTCTCTGGAAAAAAAAGAGGGCCAAACCTTTTTCTCAAAAACAGACAAAGAAATCGCCAAAACGGTTTTCTATATATCACCAAAAAAAAGTACCAGCACCAGGGTAACCGGCGTTTGGGACGGGCCGAACGCCCGAACCCGAACGCCTAATAATAAAAATAACAAAAAACAAAAAAAGAATTAAATTTAGTGAGTGCACGAGCACATTTTCGACACCGCCATCTTTGGCGATTTTTCATTTTTTTTTTTGGCATAGCTAAATGCCCTGAATATTTACAGATGTGTGCTTCACATCATGCAAAACCCACTAAAAAAGTTTCAAAAAAATAATAAAATTGTTAAGACCCCGAACTAAAGTGAAAACAGAAAGTAAAAAGTGAAAAAAAACGTGGGCGAGCACATTTTGACACCGCCATCTTTGGCTATTTTTAATTCCCATTTGGCTGAGCCAAATGACTTGAAAATTTATAGGCAGGTACCTCACGTCATAGAGAAGTCACAAAAAACAATTCAGAAAAAAAAAAAATATTTTTAGGCCCCGAAATAATTTTTGGCGGGGGCCGAACGCCCCCGGGTTCGGACCCCGTACGGGACCCCGAACGCCCGTACATACGGAGGTCGGCCCGGTGACCTCCGTACGTACGGGCTGGTGACCCTGACCAGCACTATGAGACGTTTCTCTCTGAAAAAAAAAAAAAAGTGCCAAACATTTTTCTCTGAAAGAGAAATAAAAATTTCTCTCTGAAGTTTCTGAACAAAAAAAAGAGAGCACCAAACATTTTTTCTTTGTTCTGATCCTGGCCAATTTCGAAGTACACATTCATCAGATAGTAGAATGCCGTCCAATTGCAAAAGAAATGAATGAACTTGAGAGTAGAGAGAGGGTAAGAAGAAGAAGAAGAAGAAGAAGAAGAAGAAGAAAGAAAGAAGAATAAGAAAGAAAGAAGAAGAAGATGATGTACACCAGCATAGACAAATGATAAAGCTCTTCTTCTTCGCCAATCACTCTCCTCCTCCTGATCTCCTCCTCTCTTATTCACACAAGAAATAATAATACAATGTTGAATGGCTGAACCAGAATCAATGTTTGAATCCCTCTTCTACTGCAGGTATCACGTGAGGTCCACCATAGCCATGGCCGCCTCCCTCACTCTTCACTCTCATAGGCCGAGGCTATGGCGGACTACTAGGCCTTGCCCTGATGCCCAAAGGACAACCCAAAGCAGCTATGGCTGCTCTAGCTCAGGCCGCCATGCCTGACTCTGCCTCGAAGCTTCTTGGTGTAGCTCTGCCCCGACAGGGACCTTCCTGCTGCAGTACCCACCAATGTGATGAAGATGGCTGCCACCATAGCCAGGTAAGTACCTCTGGCGCTCCCCCTTCCTCCTGGTCTTCTTCCTCCTCTGTGTCGTTGCTCCTTCCCCAACGCTGCTCCAGCCAGCGCTCCAACCAGTGTGTCGCCAAACTTGCACACCGACAATGAGGCTGTGCTCTTCGCCTGGCCTGGAGATATAGCGGCCTGCTTGCCTCTTGGGCGGTGACTTCCAGGCCGCTCGGCCTTCCAAGCAATCGGTGCCTCCTCCCTTTCGGAGGGAAACATCATTGCAGACTCTGATATTGCCTGTACAGGTCCTAGACTCAGACTGGTTGGACTGGTACCCGCCTAGACCTAGCTTGGAACTACTGGGCCTCTACAAATGCCACTTTTGTCTTCTTCTGCTCGACCTCGAGTACCCGACACATCTACCTCTTCAGGGTGTGGTACCGGTGCCGAGCGCATCGGTCCTGCAAGGGAACCCTCCCGACCGCGTCACGCAGGATTTGTGGCAAGACTTTCATCCTTTTGTCGCGGTGCAATGGAGCTTTTGTCGCCGCTCCGATTGAGTGCGCCAGCCATACCTCTCACGAACCCCTACAACAGGATAGGGCCACGCGAGGTACAACTTACCTCCACCTTCGGGAGCTGTCACCTCCCTTCGGTGGGCGTGTCCCCGCCGAGCTACCAGTCCACAGTACGAAAGCTAACTAGTTGCAATCGCAAAGGTGGGCCAGCCGAGGGCGTTTCTCGTACGCTATAGCATAGGGGGTATGCGCGGTCCCATGCCTCTATCGGACCCGTACACGAACCAACACATTGGGGGGCTGAAGTCCCAAGCGCGACTCGTCGTCGGTCGACTAGGACGCATCCTTCTTACCACGTGTTACACTACGCCAAAACAAAATAAATCAAATCGCTCACACAAAACAAAACACTCAGTCCCTTTAGTGTCCGACCCATAACCTTTTGACACAGAAATCGGTTAGGCGTCGCGCACGGGACTTAAGATAAAACCGCACAGGCGCAGGGCTTACTCATATCGACTAGCCATGCAAACATACGCAAGCAGTCACAACAATGGAGTACTATATAGTACCCATAATCACGCGACCCTCGATGGTCTCGAGGATCGCGTTCGACACTCAAGCGTCGACTGACACGCGCCTTGAGGGGTTAATCTCTCGACGCTAGACAACCGCCAAGGCGGTTGAGAACCACACCGTCTTCTGCACCCTGCAGAGAGTGGGTGGTAGACAGGTTCAAACCTGTCGTGGCAGTCAAGTTCTATGGCCATGGAGACCAGCTCCATCATCCAGGTACTAGAGAGAAGTCGAGGGGTTTGATTTTGACGGCTGCGACAAACGTCAACATCCAACTATGAAAATTAACAAGCAAAATCACTCAGTAGATAAATAAACATCCCAATACCCACATATCAAATCAGAACTTGAGGTAAAGCAAAGAAAGGGAAACATAAACCCATCAGGTATATCAATCGTGCGGCACATGGTTGTTATTCTCACTGCCTCCAGAGTAAGACTCGTACACAAGCTCCAAAAGCACTAACCTGCATAAGACACAGGCACACATGAGAGCCACATTGCCAGACACCAATGTGGTCAACTTTACTGTTCCCTGTAACTCACACCACGCCTCACACACTCAAGCCCCAGCCATTGTCCAACTTTCCATAAAACCCATCAGTTCTTTATAATGGCCATTAAAAGAAGTCCGGTTAAAACCCTCAATGAAACACATCAAATCTCTCTTTTATAAAGGGTTGTGGAGGTGTCGGGGCTAAGGCATCAAGTTGAGGTACAGGTGCAAACAAAGTTGTGTCGTGAGCCAATGAATCGACAATCAACCAACCGACCTGTTATCAAAGCACAAGTGGTTAACAGGGACCCCGACTTTTCGGCCCTGGTTAACGATGAATGATCCCGAAATTAGGGTTTCGGGGTCAAATTGTGTGTTTTTTTGGAATTTTGTTTTTTGCCTGTTTTTGTTTTAGGACAAGCTTGCTGTGTGTCAAATTTGGTGTCATTTAGGTTATTAGAATTTGTGCTGTTAATCATCCTGAAAATCCTGAAATTGTGATGAAGTTGTTTTTTGGCAAAATTGCCTGAAAATGCACTTTTGAGTTGCTGTTTATGTATTTTTATTTTTATTTTTTGGTATTTTTTTTATTTATAATATGTTAGTAAGAAGTGCACTCTATAGATTGGTGTGAAGTTTGCTTGGGATGGCCTTATGGTTTTCTTATAAATTGAGGTGAAAAATGGGGGGTCGGTTAACCTTTTCTCGTTATCAAAGATAACAGAAGATGAGAATGAGGAAGACGAGAAGATCAGGATATGGGGGCAAACTTTCATAGTTTTTTTTCTAAGGAGAAAAAGAAAAAGAAAAAGAAAAGAAAAGAAAAAGAAAAGAATTTAAGAGCAGAGAGTGAGGAAGAGAGCCAGCGGCCTAGCGCAGCTGATAGAGCAGGTAAGTGGCATTCAGGAGGTCATGGGTTCGATTCCCCATGTCTTCTGTCCGATTTCTCAAATTTCCCATGACTTCCTGCGGCGTGCTTCGGATTCGCCAGCTGAGATAGTTGGCTTTCCCGTCCCTGGTCGGTCTCGGAGGTAACCTACCTTCTTCACCCTAATACAACGCCCAGTCATTATGGCTGTATCTAGACTGAAAATTGCACCAATTACAGTTATATAATGATCGGGCGTTCTATTCGGGTGAAGAAGGTAGTAGATTTTGGTGGACTGTGCTAAGTCGGTAGGTAGTGTGAGGTATAAATTGAGAGATGAATATAGCTTAGTTTATGGGAAAAAGAAAAAGAAAAGGAAAATTTAAGGAAGAGAATACAGTAAGGTGAGGAGTTCAGAGTGTTAGAGGTAGAATGTAATAGTGCTCTCCCACTTTCAATTTTATCAGTTCTTTAAACTTCTTTTTCTTTTTTCAAAGTTTCTATGTGTATTTGTGTTTGCTGATTGTGTGAGGGCCACCTGTTTCATGAGAGTGATTTGCTCATGCTTGTGCTTTTGCTTGTACGTGTGTGTGTGTGTGTGTGTGTGTGTGTGTGTGTGTGTGTGTGTGTGTGTGNTGTGTGTGTGTGTGTGTGTGTGTGTGTGTGTGTGTGTGTGTGTGTGTGTGTGTGTGTGTGTGTGTGTGTGTGTGTGTGTGTGTGTGTGTGCACTTTTTGGTATTGCAGGAAGGGTTGGCGAGATTGAAGCTCTTGCTCCCTATCACCATGTGTTTGTGATTGAGGGTAAGATCAGGTCACCTGGGGCGTGTGGGTGAGGTGTAAACACGCATGCATCACTGCTAGTAAACAGGTTATGCGTTCATACTGTGATGAATCCTATGAATCCAATAATGTTAGGGGCTACCCTTCTTGGTAAAGGAAGATAAGATCAGTTTGGGTCATGCACCATGGATCTTGTTCGCTGTGGCCATTCCAGTCTACCCCTCTCCTTCTCCTTCTCCTTCTCCTTCTTCTTCTTCTTCTTCTTCTGCTGCTGCTGCTGCTGCTTCTTCTTCTTCTTCTTCTTCTTCTTCTTCTTCTTCTTCTTCTTCTTCTTCTTCTTCTTCATTGGTCCGCCCATTACTCTCCATGAAACAAGAACTCCTGCACCGGGGCTACCCCCCGGCACTCTTCTTCTCGGCCTTAGCGAGGTTTGCTAAGGGCACCAGTACTCTCAGGGAGCCATGGAAAAGGCTATCTGAGAGCGTGGTAGGTCTACTGGCATGGTTTGTCAAGACTGCAGCGGGCATATAAGCCTCTGTAGATACCCTAACTAGGGACTGTACAGTAGTACTCTTGTATAGCTTCCTAAATTCTCTGAGAAGTATGATATTATATCGACCGCAGTCATGGAAATACTATATCGGTTTTGCACTTTGCTTTATCTTGGAGTACTATCTGCATCTGGTTACAGTCGCTAGGGATAGCATGTAAATGCCTGGTATGAGCTAAAGTGTAGTTCGGGATAGCCAGCCTAGGCAGCCTGCTGTGTAGGCGGGATTGGAATTGGAACATTCGAATTTGTTCGGCGGTTAGTTAGGGCCCGTAGCCGATGGCACGCTGTGACGTGTAGTCTGAAGTCAGTTCATACCCTCATGGGCGTGAAGTGTACTGGCGGGAAAGAAATGAAAGTCTGAAGCTGCGCAATTCGAATTCCCACGAATGATGGGTGAGCACTTTACAGACCGGTAGCTGACACGTATATAGTGCCAGTTGTCGTGAATAGCATGGTCTTTGTGATAGTAGGTGGAGTAGGGTCCCCCCTGGACGATCGTATAAGTTTAGTCCTATTCAAATACAGGCACACATTCCCACGAATGATGGGTGAGCACTTTACAGACCGGTAGCTGACACTTATATAGTGCCAGTTGTCGTGAATAGCATGGTCTTTGTGATAGTAGGTGGAGTAGGGTCCAGCCTGGACGGTCGTATAAGTTTAGTCCTATTCAAATACGGGCACACAGGTACCGATCTGGGCGCGGAAATTGATAGCAGGGTTGGAAAGAAATATCGAGAAATAGCTATCGGCCCATATCGCCTGTAATTTGAAATTTGTAGTACGTACTTGGCTGGTAGTACCTAGGATTTCCGTATTTCCCCGGAAATTCCCAGTCATCTTCTACTGGCCGGTACCCGCCCTACTTCAGGTTATCTTTAGGCGGGAAAAAGCTTCTAAGCATCAACGACGCGGGCAAATTTCAAATTGTTGCGACACAATGATCTTGTAACTGTAACTGACTACTGAATAGGACAACAACGCCGCACAGAGAGTTTAGGCATAGGTAGTCGTTCTGTATTAATTTGAGGGCAAGGCCGTCGGCCCTCATTGCTCAGTGGCTGGACAAGTAGGTGGGTGCCGTAAGGCGGAGCCGGGGAGAAGGCCCCTGATGAGTGCCAGGTGCGCTTCCTGGCTGAAACATGCGTAGGGCAATGAGCGTGTTTCTTCTGAGCTCAGTGCATGCGGTTGAGCATGGAATTTTCTGTCGAAGTATGCACGAAGGACAGTCTATGGCCTCTGTTTATCACTATCCTTCTTCCTCCTCCTCCTCCTCGTCCTTCGCTTCCTCCTCCTCCTCCTCCTCCTCCTCATCCTCCTCCTCCTCCTTCTTCTTCTTCTTCTTCTTCTTCTTCTTCTTCTTCTTCTTCTTCTTCTCTGTCTGTCTCCCTCTGTCTGCCTGCCTGTCTGTCTGTCGGTCGGTCGGTCTGTTGGTCGGTTGGTTGGCCACCCGGCCGGCCTGGCTCTGTGTGTGTGTGTGTGTGTGTGTGTGTGTGTGTGTGTGTGTGTGTGTCTGTCAGTCTGTCAGTCTGTCCATCCGTCCATCCGTCCATCCGTCCATCCGTCCATCCGTCTGTCTCTCTGTCCATCTGTCTGTCTGTGTTCATGTGTGTGTGTGTGTGTGTGTGTGTGTGTGTGTGTGTGTGTGTGTCTCTCTCTCTCTCTCTCTCTCTCTCTCTCTCTCTC